TGCAATTAACCCAAAAACAAAATCTAAACCCAACTCCACCTACCCAAGTACTAACCAAACTCATATAAAATTAATCCATACCCTACCCATAGTAGATGGGTATAATTGGGTTTGAGCAAAAATACTCATGGATGGGTAAGCCATCCTTGATTGGTTTTTATTGCGACTTTTAAATGATTTTAAACAAAAAAATGTATAAACTAAAAAATACGGGAGTGCATCCGTTTTTCACCACAATATATGATCATATAGTGCAAATCTAACTCGGTAAATACAACGCAAGCAAAGTTGTGTGTTTGTTGGTTCATTTGATATAATATACTCTCTCAATCGATGGCCAAGGGCAACCACTGGTCGAGTGTAGTATAAGGAAGTAAGTAATAAAATGTCAACTTGGGTTGCTAGATCTACTATTACTTCATGAACTGGACCATTATGTAGCTAACAATGAAATATGTCGATTAAATAAATAAAGCAAAGTAAAGTAAATAGATTCGAATTCAAGATTGAGAACCCACTCGGGGATAATTCCCCCTAATTCCTCATTAGGTTGATTTTGCTTACTACCCTAGATTGATTCATGCGGTACTTCTACTACGGAGAGTCCTTAGCTAGTTTGGGCTTCCTATTGAGTTATCCAAACCCATTTAGATGAACTGGCCGGAGGAAGAGTTTCCTCAACCAATATAGAATACTGAAGGCAAACAATATAGACTCTACTATTGAGACAAGACCCAATACACCGCTATGATTTTACTCACTCTCGTGTTATTGACTCACAACGATCAATTAATCATATGCTCTATTGATCAAAGCACAATTGGAGGAGTGTGATGAATACTCATGCAATTCATTATATATAAATATCAATCAAATAGATAGTATGACTTCACAATCATAGGGTTCTAGCAAGAATCATCCTCACACATGGAATTAGGTTCCCTCACACACAAACGAGGAAGAAACTACTCCATAAGAAAGAAGGAAAACCCAAGAGAATCAACTGTCATCTTAATAAAAAGGCTGTAAACCAACTTCTCTTCGTTAATCGTCACTCCTAGATGCTTCAGTCAAGCTCCAATGGTGATTGGTAGGTAGGAAGCACCAAGAGGAAGTTATTTGTCACTTCTATCTCTATGATTGTTCTCTATTCATTCTTTGTATAAAAATATAATATCCTTGCAAAATGTCTGTCCAAATCCACTTATCAAGCAATTTGGCTTACTTAGGGTCTCATGTCATGGTCGTGAAATCAATAAAAAATGTGTCACTTCGTCTCGCTAAAATGTAGAAGTCACAGACAGGGGTAAAATGTCGCGGCCATGGTCGTGACTTGTAATTGCCCACCGTGACATGAAAACCTCCATGGAAGTCTATTGAACATCACAGGATGAGTGATTAATTCACGACCATGGTCATGACTTGATCAATTTCATGCAAGGTATTGTCAATGATTAACAACTGTGAACAACTACCCCATCCTTGGCCAAATTTAACCTAAAATGGTGTTATCGTATAGTGGCAATCAAGATCATATTTTACTTGGGTCTTAGTACCCTAGCCTACTTCTCACGTTGTTGTTATCTAGACAATCGAGTTTTGTGTGGAGGATATGATTGAACTACTAATTAAGAGCATAAATAAAGATAAAAGCAGATATTTCGGGGAACTATCCCTCACTCTAGCTTAGGACTACTATGCAATGTCTAGAAACTTAGGGTTTGTCGAATGTGGTGAGTGAGCTCTTTTCGGTGGGCTTGCGTGGTTATCCACACACCTCCGAGTACGCCTCCCCTAAACCCATTTATAGTCACCTCGATCTAGGCTATCGTATCTGGGGCATTAAGCTCGTAGCTCCTTTCAATGGGTACTACCCACCGTCCACACCGAGGTTTCATCTCGGTTCTATCTAGGAAGGAATTCCTATTTTAATGAACACTACCCATCTGTAGGATCCTATTCATACATCTAACCTTAATTTGTTTGATGTCACATACTTGTCTAACCCTAAAACTCCATACCCAGCGTAGTATCTCAAGTAGGCTAGTAGAGAAGATTATGCAGACTTACCCAAATACAATCAAAGCTAGAAAAGCTTAAGAATCGACTAGATAAACACATTCATTCATTAAAACCCTAAAATATTCATACATACATAGTAACCCTAAAATTATGATTCAGGGGTCTAGAACCCCTAGTACCTTAGAGGACTACTCTATAAAGGATGGAAGAAGATACATGGAAGAGGTGGAAGAAGACTTTATGTTGAGGAAGATGCCTCTTCTTCTTCTAACTCCTTCTCCTCCTCTTCTCCTTCCTTCAGCTTCTCTCTCTTCTCTCTCTCCAAAACCATAAATTTTATCTCAAAATCAACTCTCTTGAATGGGGTAAGGGGGCTTCTATTTATAGGAATCAGAGGATGAAGAAAATCGCTGGCAAGAAGGGTAAAGATCGCAGGCGCAATCTTCTGCATGGAGGCCGCGATCTCGATATCGATGTTCTGCATGGGAAAACTCTCTATTTCTCCTTGGTTGCTTCCTCACAAAGTTCGCGCCTTGAGCCCTCCATATCGCGATCTTAGGATTCCAGGCCGCGATCTTTGGTTTGTCTTTGCATGTATGGTTCTTGGTCGTGATCTCTAGCTACAGGCTGCGATCTTCAGTCTTCTGCCTCATTTGCAACACTTGTGACCTTATTTTATACCTAATTCGCATGTATTGTCTAAAACACCGTAAAATCATGATGAAATCAAATAGGAAGGAAATAGGGATGCAATTGACACAGTTCAAACAATTATGCACATGAATTTGTACGAAATAAACCTTAATATAAAGGGTAAATAAAACCAATTTAGGTGTTATCAAACTCCCCCACACTTAAGCATTTGATTGTCCCCAGACAAACCTACTCAAACCAATGCAACATGATATACAAAATAATGTGGAATGCACTCTCGTTCTTCATTGCATAAAGAAGAGTAGAAGGAGATGAATGAACATTACTATCATCTTAGTGTGCAAGCACAAACTCCCGGGTGAGGATCACACTTACTACCGTAGCTCGAACATTCAAGGTCTGCACCGGGGAATTCTCAGACACCACATAAAACAAGAACTTTCGAATGTGCTCTTTATTCTCTCTTTAGATTTAGGAGTTGTCGTTTATTGGTCTCCTTTTACAACGTTGACACGCATTGCACCGAGATTTTGCAACGACGCCAAAAAAATTTGACTTGTCCCGAATATCACAATAAAAATTCCGATTAAGGCTCGAGTATAATCCTTAACCAGGTGCAATATAGGGCAAGTACTAAAGAATTGTTTAACGATAGAAACAAGAATGGAGAGATTGTTACTTGGGGTTAGCCACCCCTACCCTAACATAAAGCATGACATGCAATCAACAAGTAAAGAATTTATGTTAATTGAGGTGCGGAGATGACTAAACTGTGAACCGATGCAATTGTCAAGCTACCAATTCCCCTCCTACCAACATCTGTCGACCCAATGTCAACACAACTGCTTTCCGTAACAAGGGATATCGCCCTATCTCCTCAAACCGAGTTCTACCCGTCCATACACAAGGTCCTCGGGTCGATGGTCACGCACGGGAGCCTCGAGCATTCCTAGGCGATCTTCTAGTTTTCAGAGGATGGTCACCTCGTCCACCAACTAGGACTCAAGATCAACTAACCAAGCTAAGGACAATCATTCACATACAATAAGTCCTAACCTAAATTAACCTAGGTTAGAACATAGCATACATGTAATCAAACACTCAAACTCATGAAGAGGCATTAAGAAATCTATGTAAACTCATATTAACCATAAATTCACAATTCCCATTCAATTACATATCATACCCTAGTTAGGGTTTGGGGGACAAAGCCCCGAGTATCTTAGGAAACTACCCCATGAAAGGGGGGAGGAAAGACATAGAAATAAGGGAAGAAAACATGAATAAGAGGCTCCTTCTTGTGCGGAGAATCCTCATCCACGCTCTTCCTTCTCTCCTTCTTCTCATCTTCTTCTCCAAAGTAGCATCTACTCTCTATACTTCGTCTCTATAGGGTTTTTGCAAAGTCTACTGGAATGAGGGGAATATCCCTCTACTTATAGAAGGTCGGTGGGACAAATGAGTTCTTGGCCTCTTCATGGAAGATCGCGGTTGGGAACTCTTCTCCAGGTCGCGAAGTTGAAACAACGTGTCCAACTACTCAAGTGGAGAGACCACGGCCTAGATTTTGAGTTCGTGAACTTAAAGCCATGGTCGTGATGTTTCTTACGGTCTTGGACGAGAGATCCCACGAGATGGATCGTGGAACTTTCTGTACTCTTTGTTTGTAGCTTCTCCAAGCTTGCGGCTTCGGCGATCAGAGTTCATGGCTTCAGCGATCAGAGATTGTGACCGCAAACATTCGCCTCAATCGTGAACTCTTCGTGACCTCCATTTTCACGTTCGTTAACTTCGCCCCCTGGCCGTGATCTTTAGTTTTGATCCTTTTTGCACATTTTCCCTACACTTGAGCCCGGAAACTTCGACGAAAACATTTAAAACCTAAAATGACACTGAAAACATGACCAACAAGAATTAGCATTTCTAGGTCAAATCAAGTGATAAACGTTCTATGAATGCTCTAATCGCAAGAAAACATCCAAGAAATAAGGATAAGAAAGATATACCACCATTTCAAGTATTATCACTTATTCTTGCTAAAATTCGTGAATAAAATTATAAGTAGTAAAATTCAAAATCACGGATAGTGATAAAATAAAAAACAATAATAAAATCACTACAATATAATTTATAAACCACTACTGATTTGAGTACTAGTAATTTTTTAGAGAGGAGAGAAATTTCATAATTAATTAATTTCCTGGATCCCAAACAAATTTTCCCCCACTCCTAAACGCTTAGATTCACCTTAAAATTAATGAATAGTGAATAGAGAAGCTAGCATGATGGTAACTCCTATAAAATTATTAGTATTCTAGCTCGTCCCTTCCATGAACCATTTGTAGAAAAGATTATCGGACTTTTTTTTAGTGTTAACCTAAATTTTGTGTGTTGATTGATCGATGGAGAAGATTTACCAGGCAGACTCTAAATACAACTGACTTGCAATTTAGAACAAATCATAAAAAGACAGATGTTATTAATTGATATAAGCTCTGATCTGGAATCTCTTCCCCCTTGCACTTGCTCACATTAGGTCGATCGGTGCAGGTGATAGTGTGAGAAAAGAGGCACCACCGCTAAGCAGTTTGCTGCAGCAGAGAGCAAGTTAATTCATTTATTTAACTATTATTTCCATTATTATTGAAAGGGGAATGGATAGGGCAGATAAAATAAAATAAAAAATAAGCAGAGCTTCTTCAAATTAATCGAGTTTTTCCTGTTAAAAGGAAAAAAAAAAATGGAAAGAAATAGCAAGGAAACCATTTTTGTTTTTTAAGTTAAAGGAGAAAGGGAAGAGAAGAGAGGTGCTAGCTTGCCGCTAAGTTGCACCAGTGAGGATGGAACGAATGGCGGAAGGCACGTAATCCCAACACCACAGTTCACACTCTCTCTTCCTCTTCCTCTCCCACGAGCTGCTGGGCTTCCCTTTCTCTCCTCATTCGTCGTCTCCTTTTTCTATCTTCTTTCGTCCCATCTTCCCCTCTACATCATCAATATCCTTTCTATCTCTCTCTACAACAAACCCTCCTCGTCTTCTTCTTCTTCTTCTTCATCCTCTCTCTCTCTCTCTCTCTCTCTCTCTCTCTGTCTTGTTTTAATTTGCTCTCGCCTTTCCTGGCGCAGTGAATTGAACCTTGACAAACACCCAAAACACCGTTTTTTGGAACCCAGCGGGAGGTGGGATATTGAAGAGCGGAGGAGGGAAAGTCCAAAAGCAAATACCGATCGACGATCCTGCTGAGAAATATTAATTTCCGACCTGCTGGCCTGGAAGATGCCAGAAACAACGCCTTCCTCTCCGAGTTAACTAGCTTACGCGCACAAAGGTACACTCGCACCTCACCTCCCCACCCACAGGTTTTCCGCACCCTAAACCAAAACAAACAAAAAAACAGAGAGAGAGAGAAAAACAAAACCAAGAGTCTCTTTGCAGTTGCGCATGTGGGGGTTTCTCCCAATCATCTTCCTTCATCCAACACTCCAATTTCCTCAACCCTCCGCTCTCTGGTTTTCCTCTAGGGTTTCTGCCAGCGGAGGAAGATAGAAGGGAGCGTTTTGTTTAACGTCTGCTAGCTATCAGCTGGAAAGAAAAAGAAAGAAAAAAACAGAAAGGGTTTGCGAGCGAGGTCGCTTTCTGTTGGGTTTTGGTAATGTTATCTCTCTATCTCCATACCTAAACCTAATTTGTGCGGTCGGCCGGGGAGAACACAAACCCTTCCCAGATGGTTTTTGTTGCTGCTTCCTTCCTTCATTCATTCCATGACTGATCTCTGATCTTCTCTCCGTACAATAATTTCTATTTTCTCTATATATATCTTCACCACTACTCCACTACCACAACTATCTATCTGTCTATCAAAGGAACCTGGATCTGTTCCCTTCCCTACCACCCTTATCCCAACCCAACTTGCCATTTCTTTTCCCTTTTTTTTCCCCCTCTATTTCCTTGTAAATTATTTGCATTCTGCTCCCCTTTTCTGGTTCGTGTTTCTCTTTGGGGAACCGATATGAGGCACTATTCATCAAGCCTGCATGGGGAAGAAGATGATGATCCTCTCATCCATCACCAACAACAACAAGAAACCCATCATCAGATCTGGGATCCTGAGGCCGCCCAGGTCGACGCTCTCCTCGACGACTCCATTTTCTACACCGGCGGAGGCGCTGACTTCCCACCGCTCCTTCCGGACTTCCCTTGCATGTCCTCCTCCTCCTCGTCTTCCTCCACTCCGGCCCCGCTCAAGACCACCGCCACCATGAGCTGCTCCTCCTCATCCTCCGCCTCCTCCTCCGCGGCATCCTGGGCCGCCTTGAGGTCCGACGCAGACCACGACAACAGCCGGAGCTACTACAACAAGGACCACCAAGTTGTGAACCACCAGATCGAGATTGAGATGGCCAGCAACAACAACGACAACAACGATAGCAACTGCTGCTACGACTACCACCATCTCAACAACAACAACACCGATCTGCAGGTCGATACTCCTTCCGGTGGTGGAGCTCTGTCCTCCACCGCCTCGATGGAGGTGGCTCATCACGCTGCGGCGCCTCCTCCTCCGTCCGAGCAAGGAGTGGACTGTTGCATGGACGTGATGGATGAGTTGGGGTACATGGATCTCCTCGACACCAACGATTTCTTCGATCCGTCCTCCATCTTCCAAGGTGACCACCAGAACCTCCTCCTCCTCCCCGACGATTTCCAACCCCAGCATCCTGATCATGAACAACAAGGGATGATGACGATGATGATGACGACGGATAACGATAATCCGAACAACAACAACAACGGCGACGAGACCACCACCACCGCCGCCGCGACGCAGTTACTCCAGTCGGCCGCAGAGGGAGCGGAGGAGGAGGAGGAGGACTTGGGGTCGGTGTTTCTGGAGTGGCTCAAGAACAACAAGGAGAACGTGTCGGCCGAAGACCTGAGGAGGGTGAAGATCAAGAAATCGACGATCGACTCCGCTGCCAGGCGCTTGGGCGGTGGGAGGGAAGCCATGAAGCAGCTCGTCAAGCTGGTGCTCGAGTGGGTGCAGACCAATCACCTCCAACGCCGCACCACCACCGCCGCTGCTGCTGACGTGTCCGCAAGTTCCGATCCCGTACCTCCACCCCCGAGTTACACCAACCAGCAGGTGTACCAATTAGTTCAAGAACCAAGCCCAGATCCGAACCCGATTCAGGGCCCATGGGTTGGGCCTCCAGTACCTCAGTACCCGGATCTGGCTGCAGGAGTCTCGGTCGGGTATCCACCGAATATCGGGTACGGAGCGGGCGACCCGTTTGCAAGGCGGACGGGTTCGAATTTCGGTGCTTACCCGGCTGCTGATTATAATCAGGTAATTGAGCCGGCTCCGTCGTGGCCGGGTTCCCAATTCGCTATGTTTCCGGCCGCGGAGAGTCAACTCGGGTCGGGGCAGCTGCATGCGTTTCCCGGGTACCCGTATCTTCCAGCGCAGCAGATGGGACTGGGAGGAGGAGATAATAGTAATACCCTGGTGAGGATGGGTTCTTCTGCTACGAAGGAGGCGAGGAAGAAGAGGATGGCAAGGCAGAGGAGGTTTCTGTCGCACCACCACCGCAATCATCATCATCACCAGAGTCAGCATCAAGCCGCCGGTGGAGGCCAGCACCACGGCGGCTTCGTTGAGCATCAGGTGGGCGCAACATCGCAGCAGCAGCAGCATCAGCAGGGGAATTTGGTCTACTGGCCACCGGCGCACCAGGGCAGCAGTGGCCTCGTGGCGGCGGCATCTGGCCCAGCTCCGGCCGATGGATCGGCGGTGCAAAACGCGGATCGGCCGGCCATGCAGAATCAGAATACACAGAGGCAGGGTGGAGGGGCGTCTGAGAAACGACAGGTTTGTGTGTGCCTATGATGTGTTTGATGAATTGCCCCAGTGGCGGATTATGGGTTGGTTTTTCGTGGTGGCGTTACAATTGGAAATTGAATTTAGTCCCGTAGATTAATACAATATGTGCAACTTTTTTTCTATTTTCTAGGGCTTAAATTATTATGATGTAATCATGGTTGCCAGAAGAAAGGATTGTGATTCTTGTTTGCGTTTTATTTGCTTCGGGTGTGATTAGGGATGGAAGCCAGAGAAGAACTTGAGGTTTCTGTTGCAGAAGGTGCTGAAGCAGAGTGATGTTGGCAACCTTGGCAGGATAGTTTTACCCAAGGTAAAATATATATATGGATCAACATGATCGTTCAATTTAATTGGATAACTCGTTCGTTTAGTATTATTTTTGTTTGAACCCTAATGTTGTGATTTACTGCATGTGTAATGTGGATGCGATAATGCAGAAGGAAGCTGAGACCCATCTGCCTGAACTGGAGGCAAGGGACGGAATCTCGATCGCCATGGAAGATATCGTGACTTCTCGAGTATGGAACATGCGCTACAGGTATTACGGAGTGTCGAAAGCACTCCCCCGGATTTCTTTGGTTTAGTGTGCTTATGTTACTTGTTCTCGCAAAACTAAACTAAACTAAACCCTATGGCTTAATTATGCCTACTTCTGTTTTTTTTTTTACCCTTTGTGGAGTCTCAGATTCTGGCCCAACAACAAAAGCAGGATGTATCTCCTTGAAAACACAGGCTAGTAGCTCTTTGCAATCTCTGATTCATTTGCATCTGCACCATAGCATCAACTATATAGGATGAACAACTGGTGATTAATACATTCGTATCTACCGCGACTTTCAGGAGATTTCGTGAGAGCCAACGGACTGCAGGAAGGCGATTTCATAGTCATCTACTCCGACCTAAAATGTGGCAAATACGTACGTGTAGTAGTTCGACCACAGTAACCGCGATTCAGTTCCCGACATCAGTTGTATACAAGGCAATGGATTTACTAAAACCGTGGTATTGTAATGCTTTCATGTTTCAGTTGATACGAGGAGTGAAGGTGAGGCAGTCGGGGTTCAAACCGGAGAGCAAGAAGGCGACTGGCAAATCTCAGAAAAACGGCCATGCAAATTCTCCATCCCAAGCAGCAGCAGCAGCAGCAGCAGCTAACGCTTTACCCATGGATCAGTCTTAGCAGCATCAGACGGTGAAGTAAATAAAGCCAATAAAATAACCTTTGTTGATGTATACAGATAAAGCCAACTTTCTGGTATCCGCAGCCTGACAGACCTCTAACAACCGCTCTCTCTCTCTCTCTCTCCTTCATGCGCAAAACATAGGTTAGCGAGCCGAGAAAAAAAAATGGATGGTGATTGCCTGATTGGGCCATTTTCAAAAGTTGGCCAAACATTTCGCCTCTGTTTTGGTTGTTTCTGAGTCACAGAACAGAAGTTTGTGTTATGTGTGTACATATAAAAATATATATATATCATTCGAAGGAGAGATGACGATGCTGTAATATGTCGACGCTGGCTTCAACTGGCTCTCCTTGGAGGTGGAGACTTATTTATTAGTGTATCTCATGTGATTTTGGGAATTGTAGTTAGTTGGGTTGTGATGGGAGGCTCTTGAGACCAATAAGAGAAGCATATGGAAGAATCATATATATATATATATATATTGTCGGACATGTTTGTGTATGTTCATCTTTATTCTTAGAAGTCTCTAATTGTTTCAGCATGGGCTTGCATCAACTGCTATTTCATATTCTTTTCTTAAAGACTTAACAGATCCAAACGCATAGGAAATAGGAAATCTGGTCAAAATGAATTGCTACCTTTGAAATCTATCATATTAAAAATTATTAAAAATATAATGTTATAAGAAAATTGAGTTGAATTTCTAAATTATGTTGGAATATGGTCTAAATTAAATTAAACTTTCAATTATACGTATATTAATTTAGAGATGAAACACCAATTTTTTTACTCAATTGGAAATTCATCTCCTACAAACGCAAGTGTCAAAACTATCATGCAACTAATCTAACAAAACAAAAAATGAGTGTGTCAAAATTATCACGCAGCTAGTCTAACAAAACAAAAAATATTGTTCATAAAATGTAGTATACAATTTGAAAATCATCTTCTAGGAAAACTTGAATGTAAAATGAGAGCTTGAATCAAGCAGGGCACTATCAAACAAAAAATACCATCAACACAATTTTTTGCATCGATTGTCTATTGATATCAAACAAATAAAAAGGAACAGAGATAATAACAACTAAAAATCTGGAATATTGGTGGCAATTGTATATAATATGGGGTGATTTATATCATTTTATCGTAATTAGTAAATACATGTAGAATTTATTTGGAAATTTCACATCAATTTCCTGGAATTGCTAAACCTAGTCCCAATTCTTTAGAGTACAAAATTTAGAATTATAAATAAATTCTTTATCTTACAAACACAAAATAAATTTATTTGAATAATAATTCTTCAAAAAAAATATGATATTCATTTATACCAAACGGTATTTAAAAGAAAATATTTTTATTTTGTATTTCTCGACAACAATCATTGGATAATTCATGAAAACTGTTATGGTAATTCATTTCGTGTCCTGGAAACAATTAGACAGCAAATAGAGTGGAATTAGTGAATTACTTATGAGTTATGACTAGTTATGGCCCGACTCTGCTGTCCGGGATGACAATTTTACTCATATCTATTGGTATTTTACTATCCAATTCAATTGGGTTGGGTATGAAATCCAAATAGATGGATATATGTAGAGTTTGATGGGTTTGTACCCATACTCATTTACTTGAGTTTGGTTGGGTTTTTAACAAATGGATTTTGGTTTGTAGTTTGTACCCATCCCCAAATGTAAATTACAGTTTGGTACCTAAACTTAATTGATATGCATATTTAGTACCTAAATTTAATTTTTCTTGCATATAAGTCCTCAAAATATCGATGGAAAATTACAATACTTAAATTTTTGGGTATTACATTTTGGTACCTAAACTTTTCAAGTTTTACAAATAGGTCCAATTTTTGTATGTGTAGTTAAAACACACTCAAGTAAATGGATATCCATATCCAACTAGAGCTGTCAAAATGTAACCCGACCGATCAACACAACCCGTAACCTGCCCGCAACCCGATTTGACTAAAAGTCAATGACCCGTAACCCGCGCGACCCGCAACCCGACCAACCCGCAACCCGATCGACCTGCAACCTTATTAACCCGCAACCCGACCAACCTGCAACCCGACTAACCCGAACCTGTAACACGACCAACCCGCAACCCGACTATAATAGAAGGAATTCGATGAAGATAAACCAAAAGTTGACATTTGAAATTCTAGTTCACTAAAATCTGATCATTATATCATCAATTATTAAAGTTTACCGTAATTAGTTATAGATAAGTGTATGAAAAATAAATTATATAATTAAATTGGACTCCCTCATTTTGTTTGGATCATACGACTTTAATGTTGGGCTCCAAAAAACACCTCAAGAATTGGAACTGAAATGAGAATCCCTTAATTTTGAAAAGCAAAATGCATTTTGGTTGCCCGCAAATATTTCCCGCCTCTCATTTTGGCTATCGAAAATTTTGTCTCCACAATCCTTAAATTTTGCCTCCAGTGAAAACTTTGGCTCCACCATTTTAATATTTTGGCACTCTCCCGCAATTTCTTTTTTACGGAACAAAATTAAAGCGGGTCAACTTGTTTCAAATTGGTCGACCCAATTAAGTACTTTCAATTGTATAATAAGGTGTGTGGTTAAAGGGGGTTACAGGTTCGGGTTAGTCGGGTGTGTGGGGTTAATAAGGTGTGTGGTTAAAGGGGGTTAGAGTAGTTTTCATTATCAGGCTATGCAATTAGTTCATGATATGCATTTCGGTTCTTTCTTTATGTTTCAGTTATTCCTTATACACTTTTATGTTAAATTAATTGATTAATGTTTAATCCTTACTCTAAGTATGCATAACATCATGACGCATCAGTAAACTACATATAAGGCAAGCAATACTAGTTCGTTTCTAAGCTAATCAGGTTAATAAGTGATAAGTTTAGGTCTTCCCATTGTGTGGGAGATTAGCATGCTTACTCAATTATGTATGCAAGTATATCTTAATTACCGAGGGATTATATCATATACGGATCCCCACTCGAGGAATGTAAGGAGTTGGTGCCCCACAAACATGTAGAGTGCGCGATACCTTATTTCCCAGGTGATGAAACCATGTTATATGTAAGTTGGTGATCGTGATAGTGTGCTAGTTAAGTCGAGGTCCAGACCCCACTGTAAGATAAAATATGCAAGACACTTAGAGAGTAAACAAGAACTGCAAGCTCAACAATTTCTAATAATGTTCCCAATAGTGTACCTAAAGCATGGCATGTGCATGCTTGTATGTTGGTATATGATAACGAATTTAGGTTTAGTACTGATCCCATCGCCCACATTCAGGAATAGTAGAAGCTCAAGAAGTATGCTCAGAAAGTCGGCATTACATCTTAAGATCAACGATTTCAAGGACTCTACTATGAAGTTCAGGTTCTTTCTACGTATCGTTTCCGCATTTTTCACGTATTTAACTTTTATAATTTATTAAAGACATTTTGATAAAAGTAGTACTTGATCAAGTTAGAGTGTTACATCCTGATCTTAATTTATTTAGGGCATTCATGTTGAACATTTTTTTATGGTTAAATCAAAAAGTTGCATTAAGAACAGACTCATTGGAAACCCCAGCTTCCTCTTAAACCAATAGAACCCTCTCCAAGTTTATACTATCTATACTGCTATACCCACAACACTATCTACCAACCAAAACCAATCCTATCTAGACCATCACACAAGACCTTATCAGTAGCCACTCGACATCTCACATTGCTCCGCACATCACGACTTGAGACAACTGGAGATGTGGCAATTGAATCCCCATACATCCTACCTGGAGGTGCAAATTGAATTGAATCCATGGATCAAGTGGATTGGATCAAATGGATTGATGGATAGGATCAAGTGGATTGGTGGATTGATCCATGAATCCAAATGACATCCAAGTCTTAGACCAATATGTAAATTTTGAAAAGTTTGGGTACTAAAATGTCACAATGAAAATTTTAGGTACCGAAACATATTTTTCTAATGATATTTTTCGTATGAAAATTTAAATTTTGAGTACCAAAATGTAAAATATAAAAATTATAGGTACCAAACTCTAATTTGTCATTTGGATCCATGAATCCACCAATCCAATTGGATTTGGATCAAATGGATTGGATTTAAATGGATTGGATTAGGTGAATAATTTGGTGGATGGATTGGATTGAAAATTGCCACATTTCTTACATCTCTCTCTCCATATTAATATATTAATTAATATATAAAAGCCAAGGTTGTAGGTTACTATTTATTAGTGGCTCTCACACTCCTCTAAGTGCAAGTGGGAAATTTCCAAGTCCTCCTTTTACCTCACTCTCCATTCTATAACCATTATGTTTAGCTATTGTTCACTAGGTTTATAACTATTGCCCATTGTGTTTCCCATAACAATTATTGCCTACTAGGTTTCGAACTCCCTATTACAGCAACTATCCACTAGGTTTTCGTCTATGACTTTTTGCACAAATCATCGCCTTTGTCCACCATTTCTCAACCCATCTCGAAATATTGTCGGTGGAATCCTAAGTAGTTCCACACCACCGTTTCCCAAGGCCGCTACTACGAGTTTTGTATAGGGACCGAGTTTCATCCTCTTTAGTGTCTTTTCTTTTTCTTTTTCCTTTTTGTTGAGCATGATCACAATTGAACCCAAACACATGGGTATACTAACTTGAACCCAAATCATCGCCTTTTCGTACCCTTTCAACAACTATCCACTAGGTTTACGTCTATAGCTTTTTGCACAAATCATCGCATTTGCCCACCATTTCGCAGCCCATCTTGAAATAATGTCGGCAGAATAATAAGTTGTTCCACACCACCGTTTCCCAAGGCCGCTAGCACGAGTTTTGTATCGGGACCGAGTTTCATTCTCTTTAGTGTTTTTTTCTTTCTCTTTTTCCTTTTTTTTTTTTGAGCATGATTATAATTGAACCCAAACACATGAGTATCCTAACTTGAACCCAAATCATCGCCTTTTCGCATCATTTGGCAACCCAACTCGAAACACTGTCGGTGGAATCCTGAGTTGTCCTCTTCCACCGTTTACCATGGTCACGACCAAAGATCCATAGATTTTCTCTGTACAATCGTCGACATCACTTACCGATTCACAACCTTCTCAAAACACTCTCAACAGATTCCTAAGTTGTCCTCCTCCACTATTTCCCAATACCGCTACCGAAAATCCAAACCAGATCTACTCAATGTTGGCGAGTTTTGTATCGAGACCGAGTTTCGTCCACTTTAGTATTGTTTTAGTTTCACTTTTTCCTTTCTATTGAGCATGATCACAATTGAACCAAAATCCATGGGTATCCAACCTAATTTGATCTGGTCAAAGCGACTTGAAACCTACTTTAGTATTTATAAATTTTTCTTCCTTTTCTTTTGGTTGGGAAGACAATTGTACTCGAATCTAAGGTATTGACGAGTGTTGTATTGTGAGCGAGTTTTATCC